CTTTGTATGCCTGAGAATGTTTCGTCTGAGAAAAGTGCAAGGCTCCAAAGATATTCAATAGTACCCTTTGCATTTGCTATGTAGTCGACAAAGGCATTTCCAATCTACAAGAGGGGACGATTATCATCCACGAGCTTATGAAATTTATAATGATAGAATTAGTCGAAATAATGTTATTTAGAGTCTGACATTTTTAAAAAAATTCATGTAATTAGGTTATTATATTTTGATAAGTTGGAAAATTCTGGTAATAGGATAGCCAGATTCATATTCATACTTGCATGAGAAATACACGAAAGCAAACTTAAATGTAGCTAAATTTATAAAATTTAACATGCTTGCATAGTATTTAGCCCCTTATTTCATCGTTAAAATATTCCTCTGCCTCCAAATTCTAACAACTTAAATGGACAAACTTGCAGATGAAAATTCAAACTGATTAAGTGTTGAGAATTGAACCTTATTTAAGGTCATATTAGTAAAATGGGAATATTGAAAAAATCTTGGGGTTTATTTTTAAAATATTGTAATATCCTATTTCAACTTGTTAAGAATCTACATATTAGGTTCTGGATAATTTTTTTTTTTTTTTTATAAGAGCCTAATCCCAGTCTCTCTCTCTCTCTCTCTCTCTCTCTCTCACCTGTCCCTCTCTAACCCTAGCTGTCGCTACAGTGCTGCTAAGTACCACCACTACTCTCTTCCGGCCAACCGTTGTATTGAGAAGAACAAGACAAGGAGGAGGAGACATCGAGGGTAAAAAGTTTGGACGTGAGGAATAAACAATGGTTTCTCGAGTTATTTGTGTGACGCGATCCGACTCTTGCTACGAAACCAGAGAAGCGTGTGATGATGTTGGGAGTCCTCTGCGGCTAGATTTGTGAGACGAGGAAGAGGAGATGGCAAGGGTAAAAGGCTAGGGCGGTGTAGAACCGGCGAAGGTTCTTGGAGTTCTCTGAGTGTCACAATCCGTCTCACAGGTGAACCAACGATTTCTTGTTCCCAACCTAAATTAGAACAATGAAGGCCTGGCCGCGCACGGTTCTACTTGCCAAATCCGAACCAACGACTTAAGGATTGATCTGCAACAATAAAGTCCTTGAGTGGACTTCTTGGGATTATAGAAGTGGCTTCTGTATGAACAGTAGAGACTGAAGAGAAGGACTTTGAATCGACGAGTGGTTTCTTCGAACAAGGGAGGAGCAGCCTTGTGATGAAGGATGACAGAAGATGGAGATAGTGTAGGAGGTAATGGAGTGGAATTTCTAGGGAAAATAGATCCTAAGGTTTTGAAAGTCTTGGTTGGTTTCATGCAGAGAGCTTGTATCTTGACAGGAATAATTACTTCAACATGAGCTTCGAGACAACTCAAGCTAGATCTCCTTTCCATGGATCTAAAGCATGATGGATTGACCACATATATAAGTTGGTCACGTCGGATTGGGGTGGCTCTAGGAGGAAATAAACTAAAGGAATATTTGACTGAGGACGAGCCAACGAGTGACAGTGTTGAGGGGGATAAATGGAAGACCACACATGCCTTAATCTATACCTAGCTACTCAACTCGATAGTTTCATCAATTGCATCCTCAGTAGATGACATTCGAAACTTGATGGACATCTGGGCAAAGCTGAAGAAGATTTATGCTGAAATTGAGAACTACATGAGGGTGTTCCAGATTTAACATGAGATAAAACAGTGGTACATGCTGATAGATTGATTCAGAAATACTCCATAGATCTGGAGCGGTTGTGGGTAGATCTTGATCACTTCTCACCGTCGTTGAGTTGTGGCGATTTAGAATGCTAGAAAGGGGAGATGATCACACAAATGAGGACTATGCAGTTTCTGGCCCATCTCAACCCTATCTTTGATCAGAGGAGATAAGTCTTCCTAGCTCAGGTGACTATTCATTTGCTAGATGAGGCTATTACTGCAATAATACAGAAGAGTCGCATGAAGCTGCACTCCGAGTTGAGTGGACTTCCGAGTGTGTTATCAAGTTTGATTGTCTCGAGCTCAGGTATGATAGGTGTCCATGGGGAGACTCACATGTGCTACAACTATGGTAAAGTTGAGCATCTGAGCAAGACCTATCCTATGCCACGTAAGGGGGGAGAGGCTGGCGAACGTGGATAGGGTGGAGGCCATGGTGGTCGAAAAGATGGGAAAGGAGTTTACTATGCAAATCTATGGTAACAGAGTAGGAGGGAGAGACCGGTGTGGTTTTTACCAATGACGATCATGGGTGTCTGAAGTTATTGAAGAGGAAGTAGAATGCAACTGGAGATGAGACTGAGGATGCTTCTAACCAGTCATCATCAAGGATTAATATTGCCACTTAATGGATAGTAAATTCTAGTGCATCTCGACGTATGATGTGTTTCTAGATAGTTTTCTTCCTATACTCCCCTAACAGTACCAGAGAGCATCCAGACGACTGATGTTACAATACAGCTTGTAGTTGGTAAGAATGCTGCTATAGGCACTAATTATATGACAATATTTTGTACGCTCTTTCTTTTTTAACGAGTCATTTATCCAATAATGTCATTATTTTACAACTAAAATGTCTTATTTATTTTGATATTCCTAAGATGATCTTCCGAGAGAAAGGGACGGGCTAGACATTTGGAACTAGTACATGACATAATGGACTCTACTACTTGGACCGAAAGGGGATAGACTCAGCTTTTACATGCATATTAAATAGTGCTGGAGTAGTAGAATTTGAGAGGAGCGTGGAGGATGTGTTGTTGCTACATCATAGACACATTGAGTGGTTTTATTATTTTTGTATGAAAGGGCAAATAATTAAAATCTTGTTTGTCATGCTTATGAGTTTTACAAGCTTATTAAGAGCTTTTATATCAGTTCTAGGAATAGAAGTTTTGTTCATTTTTACTTGATACATTTTGATATATGGGGATCTTATTCTATAAGTTCTATTAATGGTTATCAATTTTTTGTAATATTTGTTTATTGATATTCATGTATTGCTTGGTTATATTTGATGAAAAATACGAGTGATATGTTTATATGCTTCATAGACTTCCAGGAGACAATACATACTCAATATGATGCACTAGTGAGGGTTTTGAGGTTTGATAATATAATAAAGTATACCAACAAATTATTTAGGAAATACTTATCCGGCCAAGGGATACAACATCAAACAATATGATCATAAATACTGGCATAAAATAGAGTGACAGAGAAGAAGAATAAACACATTCTAGAGATAGCTTGAAGCGTGATGACCACAATGAATATCCCAAAGTACTTGTGGGACAAACAGTTTCGACAACTGCTTAATTTATCAGTAGGATACCCTCGAGTGTATTGGATTGGATGTCTCCTTGTCAGATGTTGAAAGGAGATAATGACAGGATCTTTCCATTGCAGGTTTTTGTTATGTATGTTTTATAGATGATAACATGCCATTAGTAGAGAAATTGAATGCTAGAGCGGTGAAATGTGTGTTCCTAGATTATTCTGCTACTCAAAAAGGGGTACTTCTACTGGCACCCGATAAAGGCGATACTATTTGTGTGCATGAATGTGTCAATTAGAGAATTTGAAAGGAACTACACTCAGATGGTGATCTTACCCTTCAGTTATTTTCCAGATACTGGAGATATGAGCAAGGGGGGTAACTAGCAATGTTGAGAGAGTGGTACAGGTGAGAGTAGTGCCTTATTTTGTTATATGGGAAGAATCAGCTAAGGAACTAGAAATTCAGAAGAGTGAACCCACAGGTGGTAATATTGATACTGAAGGTGAACTAAGAGTGTATACTTGAAGAAGAAAACAAATAAGGGAATTATGTCTACAATGCCGCTTATGACAGCCAGTTCTTTGTCCTTGTTCTCCCCGACACTTCAAATACATACACCATCCACCTTCGACTCAGAGCTTTCTGGTGATATGATTTCTCCTCCTTTTAACCCCCTAACTTTAAGGAGGACCTCTCGTAGCAACGCGTGATATCCTCCCAATTATTTTGGGTGAGAAAAAGACATTGCTAAGTTTGTTTCATATTCTAACATATTACATTTACATTGAGTATTTATTACATCTTTGGACGTTGTCTCTATACCCAAGTATTGGTAGATTGCTAAGGAGGATCTCATGTGGAAAGCAACTAAGCATGAAGAGCTTATGACTCTTGATAAGAACGAGAATTGGAAGGTAGGGCCACTACTTATAGGGGAAAATGTAGTTGGGTGCAAGCAGATCTTCACAGTGGAACAAACTCTAGAAGGAAAGATGGAGTGGTAAAAAACACGACTGGTGGTGAATGGGTACAACTAGACATATAGTATTGACTACGATAAAAAATTTGCACAATAACAAAGATGAGTACAGTGAGGATATTGGTTTCACTGGTATTGAAAGATGGGTGGAGGTTACACCAGCTTAATGTGAAGAATGCATTTGTTCATGGTGAGTTACTGGAGGAGATATGTATGGAGACACCAACAGGATTTGGTATAATACTGACAATAGGCTTAGGAAGTCACTGTATGGCTTGAAATAGTCTTCTTGAGCTTGGTTCAACAAGTTTAAAAATACTACAGTGGATATGAGATATCACCAGATCAATGCAGACAATACAATATTCTTTTGACAACATGAATGCCACATAACTAGATGTGTTGTGTATGTTGGTGACATCATTATCACTGGTGATGATGAAACAGAGATTGCTCACTAAAGGTAAGATTAGGTAATGAATTTGAGCTGAAGGATATTAGATAGCTTGAATACTTTCTTGAGATTGAAGTGGCTCGTGCACCTGAGGGATGTTCTTGTCCCATCAAAAATATATACTAGGTCTCCTCATAGAAATAAGCATATTGTGTTGCAAATATGTTGTCTCTTCAGTTGATCAGAAGGTCAAGCTGAGTGTAGGGGCAGGATAACTAGTTGATAGTGAGAGGCACTAGAGATTGGTGGGTTGTTTGAACTATCTGTGTCACACTCAACCCGACATCTCTTTTGCAGCGAGCATGGTGAGTCACTACTTGCATAATCCAAGGAAGGATTATATGGATGTAGTGTATCAGATTCTGGGTTACCTGAAGAGTGCATTAGGGATGGAATTAATCTTCAAAAAGAATGAACATGTAGATATTTGAGGGCTGACTGCTTGAGTGCGAGTTTAGAAGTTATATTAGGAAATGATTTTTTTGTGTGAGAAGTTATGAGGAATAAATTATTTTCTTAGATTAAAAGTTATTTTTTTTCATATTTTATATTTATTTCCTTAAATTAGGAGTTATCTTCTTGAACTGAGAGTTATTTCCTTTCCTATTTTATATATATTTTTTTATCTCTAAATAATTAATATGAATTGATTATTGGAGATATTAGACGTTACATCTTTTTTTTTCCAATTATTTATTTAGTCTTTCCTTTTAAGGATTGATGTGAGGGTTATTGTATTATAACGACTATCCCTATGCCGTTATTATTTATTATTTGATTTTATGTCCGAATTATATTTTTTCTCTTTTGCATTATTATGTTTTATTTTTTTTATTATTTATTTTATTCTGTTTTTATTGTTTTCCATTATTATGCCTATTGTAATTGGGTTTAAATATCTTTTTTCTTATCAATAAAATTGTTCTGGTTTAAGAAAAAGAAAAAATGAAATTATTGCTGTGGTTGTTAGCGGAAGAAGGAGAAGGATGTCTGTTGCTATTGCAGAGTTTGAAGTGGTTGGGGTTGTTGGAATAAGGGAGTCAGTAACCAAACACTGGCAACAAGTTGGTAAGCAGGGAGAGAACCGACAACAGGAGTAAATCTGAATCCCCAGATCTGTGCTACTGGTCAGAAAATCCAGCTGTAAGGTTGAGCTTTCCGCTGGAAGGGGAAACTCCCGCGCTTTCTAAAGTTCGACAGAGTCACAGCTCCCGGCTTAGCAAACCAAGAAGGAAGAGAATTGTCTGGAGGACTTTCAGGGATCTTCTCCGACAGATTGCAGTTTGCAGGGAGAGAAAGCTTCCCTCCCATCCTGCAAGGAGAATGGCAGGAAGGGAGTGTGGTGGCTATAGAGGGAGGAACGACGACTAGGATAGAGAATTTGACTCTGATGCTATATAGAAATTCAAAATAACACATAATTAAGCAGAATTATTTTATTGATTTGAAAGGGGGTATAAATAATTCTTATATGAATCATCGAATAAAAAAGACAATAAAAAGAAATAACATGTAAAGGAAAGGTATAAAATTAATATATCCAATAATTAATTTATATTAATTATTTGGAGATAAAAGAAAAAAATATGAAGTAGGAAAGCCAAAAATAAAAAAAATAAATAACTCCTAGTCGAAGGAAATAAATATAAAATATGAAAGGAAATAAATCTTAATCTAAGGAAATATTTATTACTCATAACTTCTCACAGAAATAAATTGTTTCCTAATATAACTTCTAACATAATTTCATAATTTTCAATTCAAGAGATGAGTATACTTATATACTAACAATTATATAATGTTTTACTTTGACTGGTTATGCCCTGTGATTTTTTCCCTCTCCAAGGTTTTTTACGTAAAAAAATACTGGTGTCTCCTCGTGCTGCTCGTTATTATTATCTATCAGTGTGTTGGATCCTCGTGCAAAGTTAAGACGATAAATAATCACCCTAACGCTGTGGATCTTCCGACACACAACAATATTAGGTATGGAGTTTTTGGCCTATCTTTGAATTTAAAATTCACTATGTTATTGTATCATTTAGCTTTATAAATATTCAACAGCTCAATAAGAAAACAAATCATTATTTCAAAATCCATTATAGGGTGTTCGAGCCACGATCCCCTCTACCCTAAACCTCATGATCATACCCTAATGTTGACACTGATGCCATTAGGATCGAAGACACCATGGGTCTTTCGTTTACCCAATATGGTTCCACTACCTTTCTATGTAACTTTTTGTATTATTTAATTTCTCATTTATTATCCTAAGCATCTATTTCAATTTCCTTTTAGTATTATCAGCCTAAGTTTGATATTGAAAAACCTTCTTTTCATTGTCGTGTAAACTACTATAAATATTGAATTAACTCATTGAAGAAAGAACCAAATTGTAAAATACAATACAGTTAGTTGATACTTACAGCGATTCCCTTGAGATTAATAGCTTTTCCAGATGCGGTCTTAGTTCTCATAAGAATCGTGTAGGCAAGCTGAGGTACATAATGGCCAGCATAACTTTCGCCAGTTATGAAAAAATCTCTATTCTTGTACTGTGGAAATCTCTCCATCCAATTTACTAAAAATGTGTAGGAATCATCAGCAGTTCTCTTGTCTCCATTCTTATCATAATCCGACGTCGTATTCGAGTATGAGAAACCCACACCCGCAGGAGATTCCAAGAAGATTACGTTTGCCACTGCACGTATTGTGATATTATAAAAATAACATAATTAAGATCATAATCTCGAGACTTTAATTAATGAAGATATTTTGTCTCGAAGTAGCAGCACTTACCATTATTCCATGCATAAATATTTCTTTGGAGAGTTTTTCCATCACTGTTTACTCTGAATGGTCCTAGTTCCATCATAGCTCCATAAGCAAGCGAGCTGCATCCGGGTCCTTTTATTTTATGCATCAAAATATAATGCATTGTTAAAATATATTCAGCTGGAATCATATAGAAAAACTATTGAATAGCTTGTAAGGACTTCAAATAGTTGTCCTACATGTGGGCATTTTTGGCTTAAAATTCTAAAGAATTCTGCAAATTATTTTTATTTATTTATCGCTTGAACAATTTATATAAAATTGTTGTTTTTAGAGCTCAAAATTTTAGATAGATTCTATGTAAATTTATATGTTGGATAATTTGAGACTCATTCATCATCATTAACTTCATCCTAACTATTTTGATTTGGCAATATTGATTGTTAATTTTCATTTCTCCTTGTTGAGTGATAGCTTATGTGTTAACCTATTTTTTGTAATTGTTTGATTAACTTTTATTCAAATAACCCCATGTTTGTCAATTTTTATTCTTTATTTTTTATAGCAATTTTATAAATTCATCAAAGTTTATTTGGTAAATTTTCATCTTCAAATGATGTCACTTCAACAGTTTCTTTGAAATAAATGTTTTGTAATTTATTTTTCATCATTTTGCCCACATCCGTTTTAAAATTCCTTTTTGCCAGGCACACAATGTATATATTAATTACTTCTTTTACAATTCAATATTTAGAATCATATAATATTATTTTAATTTCTTGATCTACTGCAGTTCACTTTATTAGAGGTTTCCACTATTTATCATCTTTTTTATTTATTACACTAAAATTGTATGGAAGTGTTTACGAAGTGGAAGGCTATGTTAAAAATGATATAGGCTTGAAGCTAAAGTGTCTCAGATCAGATATTTGGGGAAAGTGTCATGATCAGAAGTTCAGAATTTTTTGTGCTGTAAAGGAGGCAAACATCAGTTCAATATCCAAGAACTTCTTGACGAAATGGAGTAGTTGTGTATATGAATAGAACAATCATGCAGCTTGCAAGGAGCATGAGGTTGCACGCAGACTTGTGAAAATAGTTTTGGGCCAAATAAGTAAACACAATTGTTTATCTAATTAACTGTGGTCCATTAATACCTTTGAAGGAAGGCTCACGTAAAGAAGCCTAGAGTGACAAGGAAGTAAATCTATCTCATTTAAAAGTATTTAGGTGTTCTGCATATGTTCATGTCGATACATGGTTCAGGTATGCTTGATTTGAAACCTGTTAAGTGAAACATTCATTGGATATGGCTTACATAAGTTTGAGTAAAAGCTATGAGATTATCATAATAAAAGATTCATCAGAAATATGAATGCCACTTTCAATGACATGGAGTTGTACAAGAAAAAAAAAAATAAAACTCAGGATTTTCTGTCAGTTACTTCTAACAGTCTAAATATGTTGAGATAGAAGACACTGATAACCAGGAGGAAGAAGAAAGAAGTGCTTAACCAGATAGAGCACAGGAAGTCTGTTGGTCACATGCTACTGAAGTCAAAAATCAATCAGAGTGATACGATGAGTACACATGTATTCACTTTCATTACACTTTTTATTGCAAATTGATAGTGATGAAATAGAACATTTTGAGGAGGTCGCTCAAGTTGAAGATTCAAGGGAGTGTGAGCTTTCCATGGATGATGAAATAGAGTCTTTAAAGTCAAATCATACTTGAGATTTAACGGTGTTACCCGATGGAAAAAGAGAATTACACAACAAGTGAGTCTACAAATTGAAAGATGAAGTAGTTGGAAGTAGATGCTCCAAGGTAAGACTTTTTGTGGAGTTCTAGTAGAAAGAATGAGTGTACCACACAATTTTTTTTTTGGGGGGGAGATGGCAACCGCACTTGTAGTAGATGAAGATTTATATTTG